AGTTGCAAATTTATATATAATGAATTTGTATTTTATTTTATTTTAACCCACACTAAGTTGGATCGAAGGTCTTTTGAATGCTTGAGTAATAGAAGCAATGCCGGGGGACAAGTTATGAAGTTGGTTAAGTATTATCTCGAAGTGTGGAGAAATTTCTTTCTTCCCTTTCCTTAGGCTGTCCAAGTGTCTACCATTCCATTTAACTGTCTATCTTGGACATTATTCAATTCCCCCTGTCCCAAAATCGAGAACTTCTGATAACTGTTATTCGAATAATTTTTTTTTTTTTTTTATCGTCCTAATGTACAGTAAAGTAGTATAAATCACTTTTCCGGATCTAAAGAGAAATAGATATTGTTGAATGAGTTATCGAACGAGAAGTAATTTAATAGATAAATAAAAAAATACAGTGAGATTAATAGCTGTTGATATAAATTATAATTCATTCTAAAAGTGTTCTCTTAAGTGCTATGGCTCCCATGGTTTAATTGTGTTTGATTTAGGATTTAGAAATTAAAATATTGCAATACGCCAGAAAAATAGTTCTGTGGATCCTAGGACACCTTAGATAATATTAACTCTTTTTTTTCGGTTCATATTTTTCATAAAAGTTCTTTTACACAACTTAAGTATCCTTATAATTAATTAATTACTTCAATATTTCGGGAGATTCATAATGTTTGATTATTTTAAAAAAATAACAATAAGTGAACAGGTTTATAAGAGAACCAGTTCAGTATCGCGCTATTTTTTATATATCTGTGCTCCTGAGGTAAAATACATCATATCCATTTTTTTAATATAATTTAGTAACGAAGAAATACAAAAATGGGCATGGTGTTATTTTATATTTTCGTTAATTCTTCATAAAATCTAACGAAAGAGCTATAATTTTAAAGCTAATCTTTTCGTTCTTAAGAAAAATAAGGACATCCCTAGAAAATCCACGGAAAAATGTGAAAAAAAAGAAACTTGTCCTTAATTAAAAAACCTTACAACTTATTGTTAATTTCAAACACCATACTTATAAAGCAGCTCGAATTTCCAACAAAAATCTATTTAGTGTGATTTAGACCCCACGATAAAAGTGAACTATTTATCAACTATTTGAGATTAATAATATGAAATATAAATTATAAATAATATCTCATTATAAAGAGAGTGAAATGCTGAACATTTCTCTCGCTTACAGTATGCACGTCCGATTTTTAGTCTAAGATATTTTAATCCATATCTTCCATAAAACTCGTTATCATTTTTTTTTTCGACACTTTTTTTTCCCATTCGTCTCACTAACACGCCTCTTATAGCCTATTACAGAGAAGATGAAATTTTGAACAATTTCCTCACTCACAGAATCCAGGCTCTACTTTTAGTTTCTGAGATATTTTAATTCGCATGCAAAAACACTTCAATTAGTCGACTCCAGCCGACTTAACCCGAGCGTTACATTTCGGAAATCTGATGACACAATCTAATTCACTCTCCACAAAAAATGTGCAAAACGCGCCTAAAGAAGTTTTCACTTCAAAACGTAAAAAACAAACTCCGAAATTTAACAAATTTTAGTTAAGTTGCAGTTAAATGTAATTTATTTACATAATGTGGTCTATTGTTTTAAATGAAAAATAATTGTTTTTCACATAATACACTGTATTTAATTTTTTCTATATTAGGTTGATGTTTATTCAACCACTGGCATTCTATGCGAATTATTCGCACAGGGAAACTATTTTTTTTTGCTAGTTTTTTTATTCTAATATATACTTTATCTGGTAAAGTATTTTCAAAAGTTATATGTGATATATACGTTGAAAGTTGCTTACGTATTGGTCGATTTTCGAAAATTAACCTTGTCAACAAATCAACAGTTGTTTTGTTGACTTTCTATTAATATATTCCTCAATTTGCTGATAGCGTTCTAGAATTCAATTATTTACATCCGCCAATTTCTGATTCGCGTGGTTGATACTTTAATCTCGACTAGTGGCAATATCATTAACATTGATTCCATAAGGAAAATGATCATCGGTACAAACCCAGAATTAAGTGATTAATTTTAATTTAAAGTATTAATTAATATCTACTATATTTGTTTATGAAAAATTTATTACTATATTTATTTATTACGAAAAAAAGAAAACAAATATATATATGTTTATCGATGTAGGAGGATAGTTATAACAATTATTCATGAACTTTGAACTTAAATTTTCCTTCCTTATTACCGAAGGTAGACAAGCTTTGTATTCATGCTAGGGAGGCTAAAAAAAAATGAAAAATTTCCTTTCGCATTTTAAGTTTTGAATACATTTGATTCCCTGCATGTCTGTTGTCAAATCAATCGGACTGGCATAAGATCGACTACTGTTAATACCATGTTAACGATATTTTATCTGATTATGAGTGTTTGCTCTTTTATCAACAAATCAAACTTACGATATGATAGCAAAAAATCTTGGTTCGATTTGGTTCAAAGTTAAGAAGAAGTTAGAAGTTAGTGAAAAATAGTCATGTTAATTTTATCAAATTCCATTCCCTATGGAATGTTCTATACCTTATCGATGGTCAATCGTATTTTCCTCTCTCCGTTTATTATTTCAAAAAATATAATATAAAATAGACAGAAGCAAAATAACAACTAAATAATTATCTAACTAAATAATAATTATTATTTTAAAAAATATATAAAATAAACAGAAGCAAAATAACAACTATATAATTATCAAAAAGTATATAAAATAAATTAAAGAAAATAAGTGATGTCATTATTAAGAATATAATATATATTTGGTTTTTTTATGTACACACTAAAATTTTTGAGGAACTTATCCTGATTTACTGGATAAATTCTTTTAATTTCATTTCTCTGGTAAATTCCAATAAAAGAATAGACAAGATCATGCCAGTCTATATTTAAAATATAAGTAATAACTCAGCGAATAACTTTAATATATTATATATTAAGGTACAAGCTAATCCGGAGAAAATAGATCCAGCCAGCGCTTTGCAACCTCATCCAATAAAGTGAAGGGGACAAAAGAGAGGGAGACAAAATCCCGTTGAAAGGACAAATACAATTGGCTCCTCAAATCTGGTTTCTTAGCCATTTAATGCCGGGAAGATTCTCGCCCCCAATGGCTTTTATTAGCCATGATGGAATAAAAAAAAAGCTAAGCAGTCATTGGTTTATTCTTTACATAAATTATCCTAGTTGCTTTAAAAAAAAAAATAAATAAATAAGATTCTACTTTTTAAAAAAAATTATTACCCACTTGATTATTTAAACAAGGGATATGAAAGTCAGGAATATACAATGGTTGTGAGGCCTACGCAAACTAACCTATCTAGTAGTAAAGTTAGTCTCCCCACTACTTTTACCCTAATCTCTCCTCAACTTCTTATGATAGAACCTTTGATTTTCGGAAATCCACCAGACACGTTCAACAGTACTTCAATCGGTATCTTATACGAACAAGCACAACGTCAATAGTGCCTCGGAATGCAGAATCATCCTTTAGTGTATCGCTATTAAGAAACATCCAATTTTATATTCGATGAGCTAGTTTTTGTAATGTGATGGGCTATTTATCAAATTAATTTGCCGCTTCAAAAGAGTTTTAGAACTGCCACCAAATGAGTTTCATATTGAGTGTAGACTTCACTCCTACCGACCTCCATCAAGGTACCTGCTTGTACCTACTACCTGAAACATCACACAATAGTTCAGGTTCCGAAACATACCTCCACTATTGTACATTTTTCCTCTTCAGCTCGATTTTATTTCACCCAGGTAGCTTTACTGGTACCTGGTTGTAGAGGTATTCCAGTCGTGAATTCCATATTTTTCCAAAGGACAAGAATATTTATACCACAGCGAAAAAAAAAATATTATTGAGAAACTTCAACCTTCATTGTCGAAAATTATAATTAATAGACTCGAAGCACTTAAACTGAAAATTTCTTCATATCTTTAAAAAATTCTTCAGATAAAAAAAGGCTGAGGACTCGATTCAGGGTTAAGAAAGAGAGAAAAAGTTGTATATTCGTTATTTATTTATTGATTTAATTGTTTCCTATATTATCCTATAACTCCACCAGTCTCTGTCCACACCCAGATCAGCCATAACGCAATCTTCCCATCTTCGCTTCGGTCTACGCCTTGGACGTTTTTTAGTCGGTACAGGAATTTTAGGAATTATTTCGTTACTGAGTCCAATAATTTTACAAGCCCATTTAATTCGCCGCAATGTAATCAATTTTAACTGAATAAAATTCGGTTTTGTATATTACTACGTCTTGTATATTAAATCTCTTGATGTAAGCGGTCATGTTTCGCATCCATAAAGAAACATAGGGTTACAAGAAACATAATGGTTTTATAGATTCTATGTAGATAAGTAGTTTTGTCATAGAAAAATAACAAGCATTTCCCGCCTTCAGCCTTAATACCCTCTTTAATTTTTCTAGTTATAGTAGACCCTAGATTCCTAAACTCTCTACTTGTTCAAACATATTACCTTCTATATCAATATCAATCAAAGCAATATTGCCATTTTTGTAGGTAACCATACATTTTATCACATTCGTGTTTATTTCGTAGTTCTTTACTGGCTTTATAGTTTCCGTGTCTTTCCGTGTGTATAGTTTATAGGACCACATCATCCGCATAGCCGGCTGTTATCGCACCCAGAATTTTACCCTTTTTCGGTACATATTACCTCTCTAACATATGATATCCTTACACAAATTATCTAATATATCCCTGGCAATTGGACTCAACGTCTGGATAACCGCCTAATTTTAATGTTTACCGTTTAGATACGCCATAATACGGTTTTGACACTCCCATACAAAGATTAATATCTCTGAGAATTTTTTTTTTTTAATTTATTATTCGGATTGTTAGAGGTTCGGATTATCGGAACCGTCCCGTATTGATCTAATAGGAACTGACTGGAGGGCTAGGAGATGAACTTGCTAAAGAAAAGTTTAAACTTTTAAAGTCTCCTATAGAACTCCTCTTCCAATATCCGTGGGATCTGACCGGCTGAGGAACTAGGATGAGTTGTAGGCCAGCTAATGGGATTATAAGGAGGGATGATGTAATTATGGTAAATCCGTTCTTGAAGAGGCCGGAGGATGCGGCTATCCTCAGCAATATCCCGATTAATCGGGACAGGATTAGGGACGGAGCTGCCGATACCCGGGGGATTAGGGGTCCTTCCTAAGGATTCCTAGATGGCAGACGGTGCATGAACATCTGCGGTGTATTCTGGTTCCAAGGGAGTGTAATTGCTTTCTGCGGTCTCGGCTTGGAAGTAGAGTCATCAACAGGAATCGGGGAAAAGTTAAACAATTCCATCACAGGGATCAATAACTGATTATAGCGGTTGTTCATTAAGTTGAGTAATGAAATTGGATTTTCAATCACGTCCTCCACAATCATTATCGACAGCGTTTCGATTATTACACACATACAGTACCGCTTCCATTAACCCTCATACGTTTATCCATCGGTTTCTGTTAACCGTATGTACAATTAAATACAAAAAAGTGTTGTTATTTTTACCCTTAATGAAAACAAAATTATGAGAAAGAGTTGGTCGGAGGGTACGGTCAGATAAATACTATATTTTAAAGTAATACTATATTTTACTCAATAGTATTTATAATCATTACGGCGACGTTTCCACCCACCTTGCAGGTCTTCATCAGGGCGTGGCTTGTGGCACTGCAGGAGGCAGTTGATAGACTGCTGCAGTCTATCTAGGAGGTAAACGTCCGAGGCCTAAAGCGAGGTGAAGATGGGAAGATTTCTGTATTATTTTAAAAGGACTCGTTCCAGAATAAATTAAGTATTATTATTAATATCACTAAACATTATCCTTGGATATATTCGAATTGTTAAGAATATGTTGAATTAATTGTTAAGAATATGAAAAAATTAGATTTTAAATGACATTATAGATGAGAAAATACGTACAGAGATAGAGAGACGTCCAAAACAAGGTAGCACGTCTCATAAATAATTTGTTGAAGGAAGAAGTTCTACGAGAAGGAATGTAATGTTTTTTGGGTTAATATATCGTGTTTAAAGAGTGAACGGAACGGATCGCCCTCCTCCCCCCCAATAAAAATGTTGAGGGGACGAATGTTCTAGCCCCTTCCAATAATTTTAAGTAAAACAAAAATTAAAATAGTTAACAAATTAGCTACATGAATGAATAAAATATGTAAACTGAAATTCATTAAGAAAAGTAGACTAAGCTAAGGCCTAGTAGTAGGTACGTAACTATTTTATCACGACCTGAATATTCCTGTTATTTAAATTTTCATTCATATTTAAAAATAGTAATATAGTGACATATTCTTGGATTCATTCACCTTTCATTTAGACACCTCCATTTTCACCTGATTTTCTTATGCATTTATGCATCAAAGTTGTAAAAAATATATTTAATAAGTACTATATTTTATAGAGAATATTTTTATATAAATTTTCACTGATTGTTAGTCAGACTGTGAAAACGTTTTATTTTTATTTAAAGGCTGTACAAACTAAGGCACCGCAAGTATTGTTTCGCAAGTTCGAGAAATGTACTAATTATGGAAGCTTCCTCTCATGTTTTATATATTCATATTGTAATATATCCAACTGTTTTTTTTTTTCTAAAGGCACATAAAAAAAATTCTACTAATGTCCAAACATATATATAAATTTATTTTTAAATATCCAATAATTCTGAGGGATATTCTGACTATATATCATACATGTTTTCCTTTTTTTTTTTCTTTTAAATTTAATGTTTAAGATCTCGAAGCTTACTTATATCGAGTCTTTTATTTTTTGAGAGGGGGGGGAAGGCGTTGTTTACCAGCTCCGTTGCGAAATTACATTCTCCCCCCCCCCCTGCCCACCGCTAAACGGGACCGGGAATGCTGGGACTAGAAGCTCATTTCGGGGACCTAGCTCCGTCCTAAGGTGCTATGGGAGCTGGTACAAGTACCGTAGCAGACCGGACATTGTCTGATTTAAGTGGCGGGGGCCCTCTCAAGGGCTCGGTCCACTCTTCCCACTTATTTCACAACAGCCCTTTCCCTATTCTCTCCACTCTTCTAATTTTATTTCTCGCTGTCCCTGCCTTCCTTTTATTCCACGCCCTTTCTCTCTATTGAGTTTGCTCCCTCTTCACAGTGTTTGCTCCCTTACCAGGTTTTATTCCTCCACATTTCTGGATAATACCGACAAGAATTGCTTTTAGAGTGACTAACAATGGTATGTGATAATTTAACAAAAGAAACAATTAAACCAATGGATAAATATTATACTTCTTTTTATTTTTAATTATTATTACTAAATTGAGCATAAAGCTAGAAAAAGAGACATAAGTTGATTATCTTATAAATGGAAAAATTCAAAGAACAAAGCCATAAGTCTCCCACATACAAATAAATAGTTAACTTACCAAGATCACATATATGCAGAAAAAAATGCAGATGATATCTGTATATCTATTTACATATAATTTTTATCAAAAACAACCACATTCCTCTGACTGACACCGTACACTACCTTGGTCTCACAGAAGGATGACATGGGCCCCACATTTTAAAATGAAACGGAAGACCCTCAATAGATGGCTCAAACTACTTTACTCACTTTTTTCCAAATTCAAAACTAGAACTGAGACAGAAACTAAATACATACCTATACTTACTTAAACTAAAGTAGTCTTATTCCTCACAGATATACTGTATAACTAAAAAGACTCACTTAAACAAACTTCAAACTTTCCAATCAAAAATATAAATAAAAGTAATACCACTAGTTTGTTACTGTGTATAAATAACGATGTTTTTTTATTTTTTTTTTTTGTATTTCAAACTTTGTAGATCTTCACCTGCTTCCGAGAGTCTTTATAATCTTTACCTATCTTGAGTTATTTCTTTCCAGTTATCTGCACGCAGCTCTATTGCATCTTTGTTGATTCTATCTATCCACCTGCTTTTTGGCCTTCTTCGTGTTTTAAAAAAATATTTTATTGGGCATTCATTGTTACTGTAAGCTATATACCCCGCCCATCTCGACCTGCTATCCTTCGTATCATGAGATATTGATTGACCAGTTTCTTTATGCAGTTCTTAATTTGCCCTTCTACTTCATGCGTCTATTCACAGATTGCTGCGAATATCTTGTGGAGGATTTTTTTCTCGAATCTTTTAATACTCATGTATTAAATATATATATATATATATATATATATATTATATATATATATATATATATATATATAGATTCATTTTTTTTCCGATTTACCTCTGGATATCCGAAAATCCTGAAAAAAAATTCGTAGCGATTATTCCTTAAAATATATTTCAATTTTACTATTAACTCCTAATAATACTGAACAAGCATATAATCTTTATTTAACAAACAAAGAATGAAAATATTGCATGCAAATATATTATTATTTTTTTCTATTTCTTTTGTTTGCTAATTTTAATGTAAATGTTAATTTTAATATAATATTAACAACTCTAGAAGGCTAGAGGTCACTTGTGACCAAATATTATTTATAGATTGTTCAAACAACGCCTTATACCATTTTTCTATCACTCGTCATTCCATCAATCATATATCCTTGAATGTGGTCGAATTTCTTCCGCTGTCTCTAATATATGTCTTTATTCCTGTTGTTGAACTTTTACTCAAGGTAACATTATTACTCAGTTGGAACAGCGCGGAATTGTTCAATGCCAATCCGACGTGAAAGTCGGTTTAGTTTCGTAATCTGGTCCATTATGGCACCATTAGTAGTGAATATTGCTTTATAGGAGCATTCGCGTACTCTAAATAAATATAATAATATTGTATTATATAGTCATTGATGTAATGCGGACAATTGAAAAATGAGGTACCGATTTATATAGGATGCCTCAGTTCTTAAAGGCAAAACTCTGGAAGGTGATTTTCGACAAAATCTAAAAAAAAAAAAGTTCATTTGACACATTCAGATTCCGAACGTTATAGGAGCTAAGACCTAATGTATGTGGTCGCGTTTTTTCTTGAATGAGAAGGAATTTTTCAAAAACTGTTCAAGGTAATTAAATTCTAAGTAGACAATTTTTGTTTTTTTTTGAGACACCAGTGAATAAATTTACTTGATGATTGAAAGGGACTTTCAGGAGGTCTAAAATGGCCGCTGTACTATTGCATTTACAGTTCCTATACAGGTGGAGAAATATCTGTACACCGTATTACACCTTCTTAAAGTTTCTTTTATTATCGACCTCAGTAAACTTAAACACCGTCTTTATTTAAAATTTTGTCTACTTTATGATGCTGTACTTAAAATTCTATTATATTGAACAGTTTTGAGCGATTCCTTCTTATTAAATAAAAAGAAAAACGTGACCAAAAAAACAAAGAATAAGTTCATACAACAAATGAACTTTTTTGTTGGAAATTTTTTCTAGAATCATTATTTCCTCCCTCCCCATCTTAGTTTAGCCATTAGGAACTGAAATACCCAGTATAGATGATGATACCTTATTTATTCTGTTGTATGATGTATGAAATTGAATAAATTATCAATATTTAATAATTTTAAAGAAAATGCATTATACTTATTATGAATTATGTTACTGAGATAAAAAAAGTCAGGTAAAAAAATAAAAGTATTAGATTTGAAATTTGTCGTCAAGTTGTATTGTAGTTTAAAGTAATTTTCATATTTTTTATAAAATAAACTGCTGAGTATATTTTTTTTTTTGTCTGTAAAATATGTATTTGCGCCGGTCAACAATAAGTTGACTATCAGCAAATGTGATGGCGATAATGATATAATGACATGACAGGCATGGGGAAGGAAAGTACTCAGCAGTACCTCTTCCCTAACTTGTTCCAATTACTTAGGTTGTTTAAGGAAGGAGATCCCTCATCCAACGCCTTTTTAGTCTCCTCCTCATGTTCTGAGGTATGTCAGCTGTGGCCATGTCTCTTATAAGTCTGTTATTATGTCCATTTAAATTTGTGTAAAATCGTTGATATAGGGCTGTTATATGTTGGTCAACTGTTGGAAAGTGGAGGTCAGTATGTAGAGTTTTGTTAGTCACGTTACTTAGTATACAGTTTTAAAATATAATATGCTAATTCATCACATTTAAGAAAAACAATATGTTTGTAAATATTGAGTGACAAATAGTATTTATTCATTATTATACCATTCAATCGGGTATATAACTATATGTTTTCGTTTCTACTTTAGAGGGTCATTGGCGGTATGGTCTACTTTTTCGAAGTGGGAGCCCCTAATAATAAATGTTTTACTGTCTGAGGTGTTCTGTCTCACATTTAGCACGTGGGTGCTTTTTGTCCTCTAAGAAGGTACCCGTGTGTTGGGGGCGGGGTGGCCGAATAGGCTAAAGCGTGTGTAACAGCACCGCTAGTTGCCTGGCAACCGGATAACAGAGATTTGAGATGATATAAAAA